ACACACACACACACACACACACACACACACACACACATACACACACACATACACACACACACACGCACACACACGTACACACAGAGATCTGCATCCCTTTTCCTTGCATCCCTTTTCCTGTCATCAGCTCTGAGGTTTCCCTTTCCTATCTCACCCACTGCACATGCATGAAAACCTCATTTTTGTTCTCTGAATGGCAGATGGATAGTAAGAGCATGAGCTTTGGAGTCAGACTTCGATTTGATCTACTGATCACTTAAGCTGGCCACGTGAATGTTTTTGGCCTCAATTTCTTGATCTGCAAAATGGGGATACTAACAGTACTGGTTCCTTCTGTAGGGTGACAGCTCTGCAAGGCTTCTGTCAGCCAGGTGCTGCTCTTGTCAGAGGAAGAAGATGAGGGAGGACTGGAGAGGGAGCTGCTGGGGCCTTATTGGTGAGGAAAGAGCCTGGATGTGGGCTGGAACTGGCAGCAACTGAGCTGAAAGGGATGTGGCCAGCAGCCAGGAGCCCATGCTGATGACCAGCTCTCGGCTCAGCCTCAGGGACAATCTGACCAGGGCAGCCCAGGGTGAACCCAAAGCACTGGGACCCGGCTCCTGCTGCTCTCTGCAGCTGCGCTCCGCTGTTCTCACCCTCACTCCTGGCGCTGAGGGGACACTGAGTCCCTGTGGTGCCTTGTTTGCCCTGCAGTCCTGGGATCTTGCACTCCTCCTCTCCACTCCTCAGCCTGCCGATTCCTCTTCTCCACCAAAAGAGAAGGGAACCCACTTCGTGCCTCATGGGCAGTGCGGGCCCTGGCCTGGAGTGTGGATCTTCCCGAGAACCTGGCTCTGTGCTCTGTACCCACCTCCCTGCTCCTCTGCAGTGCTCCCCACCAGACTATGGCACCCCAGAGGTCTGTGAGAGCCCCGGTGGGTGTGGGGTGTCTGCCTGTCTGCCTAGTAATGAGGGAGTGGGTGACTTTGCTGCTCATATGTGCACCCTGGGGCTCCGGGGAGGCATCTCCTCCAAGGATGGGGGGCAGGGCTTGGTGCTGGGTCAGTGTCCTCCCTGAGCCGGTGATGACAGACACATGTCCCACCTGAGGCTGGATATGGGAAGGGGTTTAGCCTGAGGCTTTAGGTTTGAGTCCTGGGACAGTAGAAGAGGTCACCTGGCATGTGACTGCTCACCCAGGGCAGGTCAGTGCTGGCCCCTAAATGTAGGCCCTAGGACTTTGTCCCCTGGCCGTCCCCTAGTGAGGAGAGCCCTGGACCAGGTTCCCAGACTGGGCCCCTGCTCCCCTGCAGGGATAGAGCCACAGATGAGAAGGGGACTGAAGACGGTGACAACATCAGCTGCTCTGACCGCTGGGAATGTGGGGTTCTCAGTGATTTTACACGGCCTGAAAGGAAATTGACTTCCTGTAAAGACTCTGCTTCCCTCCCTTGAGGCTTTTGTTTGCAGCGGTAACCGGGTCCCCAGGGCCAGGACAAGGGAAATGGAACGGCCACAGACTGACACTGTGAGCTTTAGCCTCAGGGCACCACGGTCAGCTTCAGCTGCCCTGACTTCCGGATGACCTCCTGTGTGCTGAAGGCCCCAGCACTGGCTGAGCTTTGATCCACCCCTCTGGTCAGTCACCATGCACAGCAGCTGGGGGACTTGGCCATCCTCAGAGGCTGCTAAAGTCCAACATGCCAGCTGCTTCACTGTTCATCCGCCCCTGCTTGTCTGCATGGGGCTGTGGACCTGACCTCCTCCCTCTGAGCCTCTGACCTTTGCCCTCTCATGTCCTGGCGTTTGTACTTGGGAAACCTCTCTGGGGTGGCTGCGCCCATCCTCTGACTGTCACTTTAGGGTGTCAGACCTGATCATCATTTCACCAGCTCCTGGTTTACAGATGAGAAAAACCTGAAGCCTGAGGTCATAGGACGAGTGGCAGAGTCAGGCCTAAACCCAGATCTCCTAGCTTTCAAGGAGGCCCCTGCCATCCTGTGAGCGCTGGGCATACCCAGCCTTCTGTTAGGGCCCTGGAGCTGCACCCCACTGTTGTCCCACCTCCAGGAGGTGGGACAACACTCCTCAGACCAAACCCAGGCACTCAGGGCTAGCTCATGTGGGGGCCTGCTGGTTCTAGCTCATACCCACCTCTGGGGAGGCCACCTGTCCCTGTCCCTGGTGCATGCTTGTGTCTGTCTCCACCCTCTTGTCTGGAGAGCTTCTCCTCTTCTTAGCCTGTTCAAGAAGGCTTTCACCTACCAGGGTTCTGTTCTGTACTGCATGGCAGAGCTTGGTTTCAATAGGACTTCAAGACTCTCCTTGCTCACTCATTCTAGCCTGGGGCTGGGGCTGTCGCTCGGCACCACCCACTGCTCTGTACTCTCCAGCCCATCTGAGCAAGGCCCAGGGTTCCAGGGAGCTCGCCCAGGTGCTGCTCACTGCTGGCGGCAGATGTGCCAAGAGCAGCAGCCCAAAGACCTCCCAGGCCCAAGGAAGCCACTGGATGTGTCCCTGTGGCCCAAACTCATGGCTCTACCCCTTGTGCTGGGGCACAAAGGACCAAGCACTGGGGCAGGAGAGCCAAGCTGTCCACGAGACAGGATGTCACCAAGAGCCTGCTCCTCCTGCATTGCTGGGCGCCCCAGCTCTATGCCCAAGGGCACCACAGATCGGAAAGGAGATGCCAGCCAGTGTGCCATCCTGAAACAAAACACAGTCGCTCTGGGGTTAGTTGGCAAGTCCAAACACAGCATTGGGAAGCAAGCAGAGGTCCTGTCCTCCCACTCTGAGCACTGTCCCGGCTCAGCGTCGCCCCGGAGAGGCTGCAAGGCAAAATGAGCAGCAGCATTAATTGGCTGATGGGTGAGAGAAACGTGAGCGTTACCCTGGGCTGGCCCCTCGGCTGCCCTCCCTCGCTATGGAGTTAGGAGGTGGCCCTGACTTCTTTGCAAGGGTATGAAGCAGACAACTTGAAAAAAATCAACATAATGGAAAGAAAAACAAAACAAAAACAAAACAAAACAAAAAGAAAACGATGCTCACGCACCATTTAAGACTCATCCATGTAGAAATAGCCGGGCAGGGCTGGGGCCGGGCGGAGGGAGGACAAAGGCTGAGCGACCGTGTTTAGGACGCCTGCTGTGCGCTCAGCACAGTTTGGGCTCCGCGTACAGGAACGGAGACATGCAGGGTGCGTGAGGCTTTGGCTATGCATCTCTGACTCAGGCCCGGGAAGGGTGGTCCCTTGGGCACCTTGTGCTCCCCTGCAGTGATGGTCTGGTTGACGTGCTTTCCTGGCATTAATTCACCATCAACAGCAGTGACAATGGCTCTGGGGGCCCCTGTGCTGGCCTCGAGGGGTAGTGTGCAATGGTCCCTCAGGGTGGAGTTTCTAGTCCTCCGCATCTCAGGAAGGCTTGTGAGCCACTGAGAGCGCGGGGTCCTGGGGCAGGGCGGGGGTGACCCGCAGGCCGTGTGGGGCGGGGCAGTGGCTGCTCTGAGGCTGTGTGTGAGGGGGTGCTGGGGAGGAGGAGGAGGAGGAGAGATGGCTACTGGCTCTGTGACAGGGAGTCACGCGTCAGGAACCTGCAAGAGAGGGGAGGAGAAAAGCGACACAAAAGCGTCCTACAAAGGAACAGACCCGACCACAGCTGGAAGGAAGGCAAACCTTTGAATCAGGTCCTTGAAATACAAGCTGCAGGAAGCTAGAACATTTTGGTGGACTTCAAACTCTCTGCCTTCAACAACAATTTTCAGGTCTGTAAACGCTTTCGCTCTGCGCTGCTGGTTCAATTCCTTCAACATTTCTGCAGAACAGAGAAGACAGACAGGGCCAGGTTCCCATTAAGAGTTTTTTATTATTATTAAAAATTTTTTTTCAAGAAGTAGAGAAATAGAAAATACTTGATATCGTTTCTTGGCAAGACTGGCTCAACACTGACAGTCAAAAGAAGTCACAAACATAATGCATAAACAAGCAGCCACTGGGAAGGGCTACATAACCAAAGGAATCACAATTTTTAAAGCAAAAAACAAAAACAAAAACCCCAAACAAATAAAAAAATATGATTTAAAAAAAAAATCAAATCCAGAAATTGAAAAGTTGGGAGGAGAGATTCCCATACTGACAATTGGAAACATAGAGAATACATTATCACAGACAACTAAAAACTATTCTAGAACTACGGAACAAGCTCTCCAAATGCCAGTGGGTGCCGATGTATTGGATACCAAGTAAAGCATGGCATTGTGATGTAAGATGGGCTGGATATGGTTCAAAGGAATCAAAACCACAAAACCTGCAAAAACAGCATCCCTTCTGTTAGACACTCACAGTGTGGAGCGAGCTTCTAGGGAGGGGACCCCCAGAGAAGAGGGGCTGAGGGAGGGCCTGGGATGCTCCTCCTTCCGTTTCACGCTTTCTGGCCTTGAGGGGAAGCAAGCAAGCAAGTGACCCGGCTCTGCAGACCACCCCCATTTCCTGGACCAGCCTCTCAGGACTCCCACCCTTGCCTGGGGGTTTGACATTGGGCAGCTGGTTTGCAGGCCCTGCAGGTCCCTAAAGCGGCCTCTGGGGCCTTCCCACCCTGGTGTGCACCTACCTTTGCCTGGAGTCTTGGCCACCAGACTTGGGGCTGGCACAGACAGAGGTCGGGCCAGCAGGCTCTGCCCTGGCAGTGTCAGAAGCTTCTCCCTGACCCACCCCAAGGCTTAGAGGGAGAAGGAGGGAAGAGCCTGCCAGCTGCACTGTTTGATTACAGACACTCTTTCCTTTGCAAACGTTAGGCCTCCAGATGACCAACACGCCCCAGCCTTGCCTCACTTGCCTGCCTCCTGGAGCCCTGGACCAGGCCTGCACATTGCCAGCAGCTAGACATGGGAGGCCCAGGTCCCTGAGGAGAAGGACCTAGACTGTCATTGGGCAGGTGAAGGGGAGATGATGGCCTGCAGGGCTGAGCCCCACTCCTCAGGCCTCCTTGCCATCCACCCAGGCCCTCTAAGTCCATGCTAAACCCCAGCTGGTATTTAAGAATTACCCCACAGTGTGCCCTACTTCTGCCTGACCCATCATGTCTTCTCCTGGGGCCAGTGGCAGGCACCCTCGGAGTCTGAGTCTGAGACTTAGACACTTGCATGCCCTTGCAGGACCCATGAGCTTCTTGGGGGCTCTGCTCTGCATCTCTAAACTGGGGACTGAGGCTCCTGCTTCTATGAGCAAAGTACGGAGGGGCTGGTGATTAAGTTCTGCTCAGAGCTTTGGGCCTTGGTGGCCAGGCAGGGCCTTCTTTATAAGGACACGTTGGGCTCTGGGCTCTGCTGAAGACCAGGGAAGGTGGTCCTGAGAACACCCTATCTTGGGAGGCCTGGGGTGCTTGTCCCTGCCCTCCGGGAGCCACAAGCAGTTCCAAATCACAGGCTGACCTGGAACCATGGAGGAGCACCAAAGTGGGGGTGCGCTCTGGCAAAGCCTCCGCTGGGACCATGCTCAGACCTGGGGACCAGTGGGGCATGTGGAGGGGTGCAGGGAGCAAACAGGCTGGGGAGTAGCAGGAGCTCCTAGACTGGCACCAGGGCTGGATTCTGAGCACTTTGCCATAGGTGCTCGAGCTTAATCCAGGGGCACAAGGGAGCCACAGGGGATTCCATGCAGAAGGATGGTGAGGTTAGATGTGGATTCAACACAGGCAGGCAGGGACTCAGACTAGAGGATGGGTCTGAACTCTGCCTCCTGTTAGCTGTGAGACCTTGGGAAAGCAAACCACAGCCCAGAGCCCCAGCTTCCTCATCGCTGAAGGTTAGTGAGATAGCATAAGCAGCGAGAGAGCCACACGCTCAGCTTCCCAGGGCAGACTGGAGTCATTGCCCATGGTGACCGTCTCATGTCACTGCAACTGACTGAGGGCAGAGAAAGCTATGGGAAGGGGGCAAGTGGGACATCAGGAGGGGAAGCAAAGAGGGGTGAGTTTTGGGGGGCTATGGGACAAGGAGAGAGGGGCAGGAGGAGGCAGCTAGGGGTTTGAGCTGCCACAGGAACCAGGGGCAGGAGAGGAGGCCAGGCCAGTGCAGGATGAGGCTTGGAGAGGCCTGCGGGCTGCGTGGATGCAGCTACAGCTCTGCGCATACCTGACCCCAGCAGGAACCTCCAACTGAACTTGTTCCCACACCAGGAGCTCGACGGGTGATGCCACCTTTCTGAGCAAATGTGGGGTATGTGTGTTAGAATTCCAGGCCTGAGTTCCAAGGACCTGGATCTTGGTTCTTGTTCTGGCTCCTCAACTCAGGGGTCATGTGACCCTGGGCGAGTGGCCCCAGCCTGCCAGGTCTCGGTCCCTGTAAGCACCAAAGGGTAGGGCTCCTGTTTGTGGCCTTCTCGTGCTGTCAGGCTGTGGTATGGGACAGACACGAACCCCTGTGCTTGCTGGGTGGGGCAGGCGAGCAGAACAGTGCCTTTGGGGTGGTGCTCCTTCCGGGCCTCCGTGCCCTAAGGACTAAAGAGTGTCCCTCTGTGTCGAGGTCCTGGCAGCGACTGTCTGCAGCCCCAGTCCCTGTAGCAATGCTGGTTGCTCCAGGAATCGCAGGGCCAGGGCTGGACGTGGGCTGTGCCTAGAGGTTCAGGCTTCGCCATCCTCCGCAAGGGTGCTTTCTGCTCTCTGTCACTTTCCCTTTCCTGAAATTTGGATTTAATAGTTGGGCAGGATTATTTACTTCCAGAAGAATTTTTCAATTTATGAAAGTGCTCACCAGGGGATTCCTTTTCACAGCAGGCCCCAGTGCATTCAAAGTATCGATCAGTTGGTGTGTGCTTACTGCTGCCCGCGGCGTGCCGGCGGGGAGGGTGAGCACTGCAGGCTGCGCTTGTGGGAGCAAGCCCCAAATCCACAGGCAGAAGCCAAGGCCTGTTGGTTTCCAGCACCAGCTGCCCGCCTTCCCACCTTGTCTTGGCAAAGGACAGCCCTTCATCTCTGAGGAGACTCTGGGGAGGCCTCCCTACAAGCAGAGCCTCCAGTGGAGCTGGCTTGGGAGCTGGCTCCCTGCAGGCCCTACACCCTCCAGCATTTAGCTGCTCCATGCTTGGGTTCTGGAGGAGGGGATGAGACCCTCTGGGCCTGCCCAGCAAGGACTCGGGATATAGTGAGTGAGCGGTCTGCCAGCCTGCCAACCTGGGGGAACACAGCTTGACCTCTGGATCCCTCTCTGCGGGCTGACATCAGGGAAGCTCATGCCCTGGCCTTGCCCTCAGAAGTGGCTGCCCTGTGTGAGGAGTGCCCTGGCTGCTGTGATCACCCTGCAGAAAGCAGCTGACGGAACCACCATCCTCTTAGACCAGTCTTGGCCGCTGCCTCCAGGGACCTCCCATTTCTAGCTGGTTCCCCTCCAGTCCACCTCTACCTCGCTACTCCTCAAGGCACCTGGCCATCAGCCCTGTACATAGGAACCCTTCAGGGCGGGGCAGGGCAGCCTCCCGTGACTCCAGCTCCTCCTTAACTTCCAAGGGTGCTCTTTACTCCCCTGGGAAGCCTCCCCATGCCCCGGGCAAGTCGCCTCTCCAAGTCTGTCCTCTCTGCCTGGATCTTCCTCCTTCCTTCTTCAGCTGCCTCATCACTACTTCAGGTATTGTCAGGTCCCAGCCCTCTTGTGCTCTTGCCTCTCTTCTACCCACTCCCTGCCCTCTGCTTTCCCCACATGCCCCCGAAGCACTCTCTGCCACCTTCTTCATACTGTGCTATGGATTGTAATTATTTATTTACATATCTGCCTCCTGTACGAGGCTGTGTTTTTAAAAATATTTTATCTGCAACCCTCAGCTCAGGGGATGGCAAATAGATGGCCCATGTGGTAGACTGCAAAATCTCTGTACAGTTTCCCCATCCTGTCCTCCATGGCTGGCCTTGTGATTTGCTTTGGAACATGGAATGAGGTGGAAATGGCCTTGTGTGAATGTCAGCCACCACCTCACAAAGCGTTGCTTTGTCTGGAGACCCTGGCCCTCACCTCTGTGGGAGTGTGCTGGGGCCAACCTTTTGGAGGATGGGCTCCCACATGGGGCAGAGAGGACTCATCCCAGATGAGCCTTTAAACTAGCCAGCCTCTGCCAGAATCAGCCCAGTCTGAGCCTACCCAAACTGAGAAACCAGAATCATAATTTAGACAAGTGGTTGTTGCTTAAAGCCCCTAAATTTTAGAATTGTTTGTTATGCAGCAAGAGCTAACTGATACAGAAGGCAAGAATAAATGATGGATTCAAGAACTTAGAGAGCTTTCTCCATCAGTCTCTCCTTTGCCAGTTTGGTTTAAGGCTAATAGTGTAAAATTGTGATGAAATATGTCATCTTTACCATCTTTAAGTGTACAGTGTATGGGAAGGTCCATTCATCACACTCCTTTCTGTCTCTGTGAGTTTGACTATCCTGGTTACCTCCTGTACCTGGAATCATAAGGTGTTTGCCCTTTCGTGACTGGCTGATTTACTTAGCTGAATGTCCTCAAGGTTCATCCACACTGGAGCATGTGTCAGAATTTCTTTCTTTTAAAGCCTGACTAGTATCCCACATTCATGTTTATCTATTCAACCGTGGATGGGCCTTGGGTTGCTGTCACCTTTGAGCTATTGTGACTAACGCTGCTGTTCTGAGGCTAGTTCTTACCCCAGTCCTGCATATCTCTACCCACCTCAGTTTCTTTTCCTACTGTAAGTGGTTGGTGTGAAATGGTTCTGTAGACCCAGCAGCAGGGGCAAGAGCAGGACCAGGACGCTGAGGAGAGTCTGCCTGGGGTTGGATGCTTTGGTTGGAGCAGGCCACAGGCG